TGTAATAAAATTATTAAATATATTTTTTAAATACTATTATATATATTAAAGTAATAAAATATAAAAAAAAATTAATAATATTTAAATTTAATTAATAATATTACATATATAAAGATTTGTATTGTTATAAAACCTACAATTAAAAAATATATAATTATACAAATAATTTAATTTTAAATATTTAACAATATTGTATTTATTTATTATTCAAAAGTAATTTTTTTGTTTTATTTATTTTTCAAATCTTGAAATTAATTTATTTTTTAAAAATATTTATATATTATATTGGTTTTTAAAGTATAAATTTTTGTTTATACTTTTTTTACTTATATGTTTATATATATTTAGATTATAATTTAAAATTCAAATAATATTTTGTTTTTTTACTATTCTTACTTAATAAACATATATACAATATATAATTAATGATATAATATAAAGATTATAGATATAATAATAATAAATAATTGTTTAATAATTTTTTTATGCTTAATACTTGATAAAAACAAGATGTAAAATATAAAATCCTATACATTATATATTGCTTTTGATAAAAATATCAACATAATAAATATTTTAAATAAAAAATCAATTTATGAAAACTAAATAAAGTTAATTTAAAATAAATATATCATCATCAAATATAAATTTTTACAAATAAATATATTATTATTAAATAAATTTTTATAAATAAATGTGTAAAATATATTTATAAAAATTCAAAAAATAACATGTTATATCGTATTGCAATAATTTTCAAACATCAAATATGGAGATTTATAAGAATCAAATAAATTTATTAAATTTATAATATATTAACCATTAAATCTTAAATATTAAAAAATAAAAAAATAGAAACTTCAAATTTTCAAACCATTTTTTTTTTACATTATCCAATAATGTCGTTAGTATCATTTATTTTAATTAGTTAATTTTTTTTTAAAAAAAACATAATTAACAAAATTATTAAACTTATCATTTTATACAATCAATTTTTTTAAAAAATTTTGATTTTGATTTTTAAATAAATACAAAATATACAGTATTTATTATTATCATCATCATTGTTTATCTAAAAAGCATTTTTTTAATTTTGATTTGACAACCCAAAATCTATAATTGATTAGGATATAATCTTATCCAGAAGAAAGTTAATAAGTTTTTCCATCGGGAATTGCGATTGTTTGAAAATATTATTTCATCCAAACATTAGTAAAATTCGTGTACTTGAATCTGTCTGCTTCCGATAGGAACTTGCTTGATGTTAAGGGAAATTGCAATATACAGTATTTCAATCATTAATAGAAAATTTATGAATTCCAAGGTTGAAACCGTGAACATATAATTGTTAATTAAATTGTTTGAACGCTCTTGGCGATTACTCTTCAAGTAGTCATATATGTTACTAAACTTCTAATTAAACGGTTTAAGATAACGTGAAACATCCGAAGATTCGACGGTAACGTAAAATCAGGTAGAGATATTTAAAAATGCATTTCATTTATTTTACTAACTTGATATTGCTTAAAAACCAATGATATGTCCATTCTTAATTATGTACAAATTGGGAATGGCCATCTTGGGTGTGTACGTATCACATACTGTACATTTTTCGGTATGCATAATATATCGTATTTTGATTTTCTACGTTGAGGAATTTAATTTAAATGAATAGTATAAGCGGGTGCACGAGGTCCCAGCACACGTTTAGTCACCGTATAAGCAAGGATACGAGGTATTATTCTACGTAAAGTATGATATGCCCATACAATCAACAAACTTTATTATGCTTTGGGATCTTGTGTGTTTAGCCTCCTGCTCGCCTTCCATTTCTTGTTTCTTTATGCTCAACGACTATTCACCTTAATTAAGGTTTTCTATTTATCTCCGATTGGAAAGGCTTCACGCGAGAAAGTTTATTTTCTACAAAACAAATAAATTCGTGATCTAAAGCTTTAATGCAACAGACGGTTTGATTGGTGATCTATTGACCAAATAGTCGACTCTGCACGAGTTCATAACAACATTTTCTTACTTAACGTTGGTCAATTGTAAATTAAATAAAATCAAGTGCAAATATCATGTGAAAAAACGTGAGTGAGAGTAAACGGGGATCACCACCTTTCGGTTAAGAATTCCTGATGTTTTTATTTATGGCAATCCGGATTTATTTCTTGATATTTTTGTTTGTTTTGATCGGGATTTGAATTACAAAAATTGATGAATACAAATTTTAGGAAATACGTGCACGAGAAATAAATTGTTAACTATGAATAATGCTAACGGAATGTGATATCAAACTTGCTTTTTTGTGAAATCAATGTTATTCAACACATGTTTGTAGAACGTCAAAAAGAAAATATAATAAGAATTATAATTTTTTTTTTTTTTTTCTACCATAGACGAAAACACGAGGTAGTTGTTAGTAAACAGAAAAACATACCTGTGGCTTTGCGATTAGAGTAGACGATAGTTGTGTGAAAATGCCGAAAATGCCATCGACGTTTGGTAAACATCTAAACATCAAGTATTAAAATTGAAATTAAGGTTATCATAGAATCAACATAATAATAATAATAATAATAATATAACCAAGACTCTCTAGTTGTTTTATTTAGTGTTTTTATTTATTATTTATTTATTTTTATATTATATGTATAATACATTTTGATTTTAGAATCAGTCAGTGAGAGGTGTAAAAATGTAATGAGAGATCGAAGCATTTGCATAAAGTTGCAATTTTGTTTTTGCGTGCCAAGCTCAAACAAGAAAAAAACCCTTGTGAAAACCTATTAAATCATGAATGTTGGTTGACAATCGATTGTTCACGCATGTACACCTTTAACCTTTTTCCTTTATCAAATATGAAACCGGCGCTTTTTTTTTTTAATTTTTAATTTTTAATTTTTTTTTTTTTAAAAAAAAAAAAATGTCATGCTGAATTTCTTGCATATAATGTACAGTACAGTATAACAACAATAAAATAATAATGAAACAACAATAATAAATAATAAAAAAACTATAAGGCCAATAATAAAAATAATAAAACCATAATTCTAGCGATAAAATAATAATAATAATATAATAATAAAATTAATAGTCATAAAATAATAATAATGATAGCAAAATTAAATAATACTAAAATAAAATTATACTGAATTACTTTTTTCCCAAGTGAAACGTGTAATAGGGAATACACTTTAGATCAATTTATGGTCTAATGAGGGCTTTGGTCGGGTTGAAAGGTCTAACATCCGATACAAATTAGTACTGTTAGAGGTAACATAATGGATCTATATGTGTTATGTTATACACATATCCAACCGCATACAATGGGAATTAACATCTAACATTTCTGGACAGGAATGACGCTAAACTACCAAAAGAAGAATCAAATAAATTTGTGTTTGTTTGCATATCTTTTATCGAGAAAGCAAGTTATCCCCGGTTTAAGAATCCTGAAATTCTAGAGGAATACTATCGAGAGAGAAGGACAAGTAGATGACGTTGGAAATTTCTTTCACCCATGAAATTTTTTTGTGAACCAAAGCAAAGATGGTGAATTCTCGGTTTGTTGACCGTCAACCTATTGTTCAAAGATGACTAACGCCTACCGATATATGCGTATCGGTTATTGTGCTACCAATTGCAAGGAAAACGATGACGGAAGAGAAAACAGGTAAAGAATATGCTGAACGAAACATCGCCTTTGAGGGAACGTGGATTTCGTTTTGTTTTTCATTGAAAGAAACGAGGTATGCTATGCGAAAATGGAATTTCGTTCAAAAGAGCAACTTTTGTAACCTGAGCGTACATCAATGTAATTCGAGAATTGTAATATGATGAATGTCCAAGCAAAAATAGACATGCAAAAATGACATGCAAAACTGACATGCAAAAATGTAATGTACAAAGTTTTCAAATAAAATGTAATATACAAAGTTTTCAAAAATGAAAAATGTTCAAAAAACGTATGTTGATATTGACAAGAACTGGTATAAAGAGAACACGGAGCTTTACTTTTATTACTATTATTGTCTATTTTCGAACGTATCTGGAATTGGACGCAAATGTCGAGCGTTATATGCCACCTCGATTCAATGCAGTTATTATTTTTTCCTTGGCTATTCGGTTACAAGGAGTTTCGAGAAATTTCATTCTGTGTAATTTAATTCTCTCGCACGTTTTGTGAGTCTTCTTAGGAGACAATGAGGAATCAATCGGATAATATTCATGCGCGGTGAATACCATTAATCTTCATTTTTGTTCTTGAAGTCTGCTCACGTTCGTTACGTTGTACCACAACCATTGATACCATACGTGGTTTGGAAAGTTTCATTCAGTGTTCCTCGTTAATTACCTTGAGACAAGTATCAATTAACTCAATAAACTTCAACACTTCAATCCACGTCTGCATCCGAGGTTAGCGAACCGAAATTGATGTACTGTTTTTATTTTATTTTTATTTTTATTTTTGTTTTTGTTTTTATTTTTGTTTTTTTTTTTTGTTTTTTTTTTTGTTTTTTTTTGTTTGCAGTTTGCTATAGAAAAAAAAAAAGAAAAAGAAAAACCCCTTAATAAATTTTTAGTTTGGCAAGTCTTTCGGAGGCTCTTAACAGTAATAAAAAAATTTTTTGATTGGAGCAAAACACGTAGTACATAGATCCTTAAACTACTCCCCTTGTATATTCATTATTTGAATAATAATAATATATGTTAAAATTAATTACGTATTTTAAATTATCGAAACAACGTATTGTGTTGCATAGATTTATTTAAGATAAAAAAAAAACCGGTTTATCTATTGATGAAAAATCTTTATAAATCCCTGAAAACCTCCCCTCAAAAACCTCCTCCCAATCTCTCTCCATATTTTTTTTTCTTTTTTTCTCTTTTTTTTCTCTTCTTTGAGATTTTTTCTTTACCGGAGACATTTTCTCAAAACGATCAACATCATTCTTTCATTCTTCCCTCATCACAATAAAATATACATACACACAATGTTGTTCAACAATGTACGATTAGCTCTAAATAAGGCTATGGAATGGTATTTTCCACAAAGCATCAACAAAGGATACACCGACGATGCCAATTATCTTCTCAACGAGAAAAGCGTAATATACAGTCAAGAGACTGCTCGTCTCGGCCCGCAAAACAAGGTTGCAAAGGCCAAACGAAGCGACAGTAGCTTGCTTAGTCTATCAAGGAAACGCAGTTGGAACTCATCGACACCAAGTGTGAACAGTTTATCCTCCATATCGGTGATAACTTCACCGAGCCCGAAAGCCACCTCCGCTCCCCTGTGGAAGGAGCAGGTGGATCCAAATGTTAAGGCCGAATTGTCTCAGGATGAAATCCACCGTCAAGAAATCATCTTTGAAATCATACACACCGAAAAGGACTTTACCAAAGATGTAAACTATCTTATTGAGGTAATTACTGATCATTAATTATTACAGTATCCAGTAACCGTTTACATTTCCACATATTGATCGACCAAAAATTTCCTTACGCAGCATTTTATATCCGAACTGCAAGATTCTGGCATACGTCTACCTTACAGCCTAAAGCAGACATTTGATGTACTACCACACATCTTACGGTTACACAGACATGTTTCCTTGGTTAGTAGTAGCATTAAACACAGTTTTCTGACAAACTCTCCCGTGATATATTGTTTCTAACCTATTTTAACACTCGACAGCAATTACTATGCATACAAGCGATATATCCGGTCATCCCCTCGATAACGCACATCCTCCGAGATTTAGCAAAGCAATTCTCGATCTACGAATCGTACCTGATTCATCACAGAGCGGCCATAGCAGAAATAGCTCACGCCCGCAAGAAGAACAATAAGCTCGGTCAAATTATTCGGTCCTTGGAGGCCAAAGTACATTTGGGCAAATATTTATCCATCGAAAGCCTGCTCACCAAACCATTTCAAAGGTTGTGCAAGTATCCGCTGTTGGTCGTGGTACGTATTAACAAGAATCGTTAATCAACATTCTGCCAGATGTTTTTCAATCTCACCAATTCAATTTTATTTGTAGACACTCCTGAAAGCCACATCACCTGACCACGAAGATCGTGACCCTTTGAATGACCTGTATGACCAAATTGACTGCGCACTCAAGGAATTGCAAGAGTGCAAGTATGAGCACGAACGAAAGAACAGGGATGTTGATGAATTCCTTCCAAAAAAATTTGGGGTAAGCATTTCTTTCCATCGCTCCCTCTCTCTCTTTGCATCACGCGTTTTTCCGGGCGAACCCAACCTAACCTCACAATCATTTTTCTAAACAGTCATTGAGGCCCTTGAGAAAATTACCGCGATTAAAAATCTAAAAGTGATTTTTCACACACCTTTAAACAGTGCCTGTGGCATTGTTGACTTGCGCATGTATGCGTGGGAACAGTTATAGAGAGAGATTTTGCGAATTTGGCTTTTACAAATTTGTACAGTTTTCCTTTTTTTCTTTGTTGTTCGGATTAATTGGATTGGGTTTTCTTTTTCTTTCTTTCTTTCTTTCTTTCTATCCTGTTTGAATAATATGATTGTAAAGTAAGCACCAAGTAATTCTTAATAATCCCCCTTGTATTATATTTCCCTTTTTCATAATCATCCGAGAGAGTCTCCACCGCTCTCTCTCCTGTATTAAACGCCTCTTAATAATATAGACATACCATAATTTTTTTTTCTTTTTCTTTTACCTTTTTCCTTTCCTTTTTCTTTTTTAAAAAATCATCTACTCCACACATTCAAAGTTACACAGCTGCACTCTTCATCCACACATTTTTTCATTCTTAGACACACACGTATGATCTCCATCTTGTCACGTGAGTTAAACTTATTCACATGACTTTTTGAACGCGCCAAAAGAAAAATCTTCGTCATCACACTTTTCTTATGCCTCTTTTTGATTTTCGCGAATTTATACAGCGCAAAGAAAATAAATAAAAAAATTTCGAAAAGAGATGCGTGTTTCAAATTGACGTGTTGCTTTGGCTGTTTGGGCTATCTTGAGTGCAATCGATTATTAGACGTCGAAGAACCTCTTCCTTCCTTCCTTACTCACATCCTTAGAATTGCCACCTACAAAAAGACCCTGCCAATTTAATCCGCACTTACGTTGGCTTCGCTTGATGCGTAATCTAACACGTTCATTAAAAAAAAAAGATTTTTTTCTTTATCTAAAGTATAGAACAAATTTCAAATCCCTTGATGGTCTTTGAAAATTTGGATTCTCATCTTCTTTTGATAGGAAGTTTGTATTTCTTTAGAATCTTATTTATTCATTTATTATTTATTATATTACTTATTCTTCCGTTCCGCAGGGCAGAACTTACACACCTCAACAACATTATAATATCTTGAACCTCAATCCATCCACTTTCTGATTGTCATCTTTAGGTCGCTCCATAATTACCCATTCAAAAAAAAAAAAAAAAAGTCATAGACACATCCATCTAATCGCGAAATCACGGTACGTGATCTTGCAAAAAAAAAACCAAAAAATCCATTTTAGAAAAATTAAGTTTATAATAAGCCAAAAAGATAATAATATGGAAGCGATCGATATTCTTGTATTATCTAACTTCTACTTGCGTACTGGTACGCACTTGTATATGATAATAAATGTATGACATAAGAAAGTGACACATATCACATGACGTTGTTTTTTTTAATGTTACCATTGTTCTATGTTCAACAGACTGACCGTATATTATGCGCGTAGAATCTATTAGTCGTTCGATGATTACGTACGTTAGTACGAAAATGCTTGATGCATGCGTACGTCTATGCAGGTGTGGCATGAATTCGACAATTTGCTTTCTGCTCACAATGTCGATTATGGCACTATAAAGACTTTTTTTAACGTTTCATCTGCGCGTGCATGAGCAATCAATGAACCAAGTGAATATGCGTAATTTCCTGAAAACGTTCATGTCAAGTAGGTTTTTGTGCATGCATGCAGTTGGAAAAAAAGAATCCTCCTTCTCGAAGAAATTTTTCGTGTACCACATATCTAGAGAGCAATAGCATTATCTTTGACACAAATCCGTCGGTTGCCGGTATGTTGATATTCGGTTCACGTAAACAATGAGATCCTGGTAACGAGTATATTTGTGGGCGTATGGAACTGTGCTCGAATTAAAATATCGCAAATTTCCATTTACGCAAATATAATTACACATTCCCGACGGTTGCCAATGTGGCATACTGTCATTATGACCTCATATGCATAACACACACTCATAGTATCATTGTGTTTATTGTGTTTCGAGACGTAAGGACCAATAATTTCCTTTTGAACGTACGATCATCTCGCTTCTTAAATATTTGTTATTGATGGTAACGGTAATGCCGTTTCGGTATTTGCACAATGTTCATTGTCAAAAAACCAAATTACCCTTTTAATCAGGACCCTACATGCGGACTCTAGTGGTTAATGCCAATCTTGGTGGGATTGTCCCCTGGTAAAATACATGGGACCCGACATATCGGGCAACCAACAATGCGTGCGACCCTGGAATTGGTGAAAAACGTGCGAGACCCATTGCATCTTTATTTTGCAACAAACATTATTTAGCCTCCATCCTTAACAACCTTGAGGCTGATATTAAAGTGTAAACAAGTTACGTGCATCCTGTATGCACCCTCACCCGTCATGTAAAAAACATTTTAAGAGATGACAGACAAGGCGGCACGTGCATCAAAAAAAAAAGCGGATTTGAAAGCACGACAATGTTCGCTGAATGGATATCTCAAAGCATCTCCGCTTATTTGCGGTTTCTCATACACCTAAGTTCTTAAACAATGTCATTCACCTGCCGTCCCCCGTTTTACCCAAATGTACATACACCTCGCATCAATCAATCTTTACAATTAATCCGAAAAACAACTTTGGTTAGGGAAATTTGTTATATAGCATGCACTCAACTCACCACCCAACTTTACCGTTCTCCAGTTATTTTATGCAGCAAAGTGTAGTCGTGGATGATCACGTTTGCGCATAATCGTTTACTTTTAAGGTTAAACAACCAATCTCATGGAACTGACCTAACCAAATTGCATTGTGCAATAGGTAGGCTGCGTGTTTCGCGTTCAGGCTCCCTAAAGCGAGCGAGCTACGCCATACGCGATCTCGACCAATTAAGAAACACGTGCCGTACGTGAGCTTATAATGAAATCGTCATCTCATCTTGAACATGACGGATGTTTATTTTTACGCATTACCCGAGAATTCAGTCACGGACTTTGATGAAAAAGATCCGTGGATCAATCTCACTTTGTCGAACGCCCTGGCTACTTATCAATCTGTTACCATCAAAACATTCGGTAACCACAGATGCATGATTTAATTTGTCGATTTGTTTGTGTCAGGTCGACTGTAACGGTATGATGTACGCCATGTTTCATAAAATACGGCTTTGAGGGATTTCCGAAAACTTTATTCCACAAACAAAACGGTTTCACGCATGTCATTTACGTAGGGTAACGGACAAAGAACTTGAGGATTTGGTGTTTATTTAGTCTCCTATTTGCGCAATGAATTCGACGAGTGACACACTCGTCATAAAAGATGCATCTGATGAGCGTACGTGCGTTTGTGTGACGAAAGAATTTCAGATGATGGCAGTGTGTGACGCTACTTGGTACGCGCCCCCGGCTCAGAAGACACTCTAGTAACTAATGAAACTGATGACTGTCGTAAACCGTTAAGACGAACCGCCAATTGGAATCGCAACGATGTGCACCCCTGACGCACCGATGCCAAACTTATCGTTGAATGGTCGGGCGACGGTCCCAGTGTATGTTTTCTACAGCCTGGGTCACGATCAAAGAAAGTCAGAATCCTTTTGAAAACATGTTATGCCATGCACGCATGCACTGCTTATCATAAACATTTTAACCCTTTCTTTTTCTCTTCTTTTTGGTACATCCCGGTAAGAGTTCACTCAAGAACAATGCAAAGGTGAGGAGGGTATTGCATTATTATAGGCGATGATATTGCATGGAATAAAATCTTAAATAACATGTAGATAGAGTGATAATGTATAGATCAACTAATGATATACTATGTTGAGTTTAGAAAGTTTATTGTTAGCTCAAGGATTAAATTTCACACCTCAGAAATCCAATCAATTTTAATTTGAATATAAAAAATAAACTCAACCGGGCTTCAAACAATTTACACAAAAATGTTTTTTACTTGATCAATGATATCTATTAATTGCAACTTGACTAAAAATAAAGTTCTTTATAAAGACATACAGTAATTCAATTGCAAATTAAATAAAATCAAATAATATGACATACTGTATTTAAGCGTGTGAAATACAAGATACAATTTTAAAATACATAGTATATTATCAAAATATCATAAATTTTAAGTTTGCAATAAATATACCGTATGTACTGTATATGCACTAGTTAAAAAGATTCATTTGGCATAATGTCGCTTACCAATTATTTGCAATAAAGTGAACGATTTGGCAATTTCATAAAACAAACTTTGGTTATACTGTAAATTCGCATATGTAAAATTAATGAATGGTTTGATACTTAATATTTGTCAATAAATTTGTATAATGTTTTTTTTTTTAAATTTTTGTTTTAACAGATATAAGACTCTTATCAATTTTATTAATTAAATAAGAAGTTCTATATTTTTGAATAAATACCAAAGAAAGTTTTTCGGTTTTTATTTTTTTATTTTATTTTTTTTTAAAGGCAAAATGCATTGCATGCAACTCTTTATCAACCTTGTTATTAAAGTTACAATTTTTACATGAAAGGTTTGACTAACTAATTTTAGCTACCCTAACCTTAGCACTGCCTTTTTCTAACCTGAATGTTTCAACTTATATTGAAAAGGTAGATTTGTACACCAGGCATGATCTATTCAAAGAGCTTATACCTGTTAACTGTCACTAGAATTCTTATCACATTCTCATAACTGGCTCATATCTTTTGGTACTTAATATCTTACTTCATTACACTTTCTAGTAAATATTTCAAGAGTTGTTTCTATAGTTGGCATATACTACCTAAGGATTCTAATAATTAGATTCAATTCGATTCTCAATTTTCAATTCTCAAGTTTATATTAAATTTATTATGTGAGTTATAACCTATTATCATTTTTAATAATGTTTCAAAACTTATATAAGTTTATGCAAATTTGTTCGATTTCAATTTTCAGAACCATAATATTACTAAACCTGGAAATCATCAGGCCTTGTAAAACAACTAAATTTCTTAACAGTCACTCTATAGATTTTTAGTTAACTTAGGCTATCAAATCTAAGGATATTAATACTAAACAAGGTGCAATACAAAAAATAAATCTGTATCTGATTTGAATTATAAGATAATAATCATGTAATAAGTCAATGTAAAATTCAACATATGTTATATAACTATAATGCAAAGATATTGAAATATTTCAAATTTTTTTATTAATTTTGATTATACAGTATATACAGTATGGTGCAAAAAATTTTGGAATATTATTTATATAATATAAACACATATAACTTTTTCAAAACAAAAGCAATTCACGTGAAATTTTAAATATGTAAA